CTTGATGGTAGTGTAAGTATCATTTTAACTGTGTTTGTCTTCATCCTTTTTCCTTTTTTCGCGTTCTAATTTTTAAATATTTTTTTTTCAGCATATTGATGTTTTGTTCTACTACATCCGAAAGATTGGATTGTATGCTCTTGAACCACCTTCTCAGAAATTTACTACCACTGATAATTTTTTCGACCAGCAGATGAAATCACTATATTCTTTATACATTGTTAACTCATGTGACCCCCGGATTTGTACGATCGATAGTGTCATTGTCGACTACATGTTTGGATTCAAAATTCTGTGCGGGGAGTCATGGCTCGATGTTGATTACGTACTCTTTCCGATTCATGTTGAGTTGGAAGGTGTTGGCCATTGGATATTAGGGAGGTTGTCGTTCGCAACTAGAACGTTGATGATTTATAACTCCTGTCGATCGACTGATTTTGACCAGGTTGTGCTAGAGAGTGTCAAGCGATATTCCATATTGATCCCCATATTTCTTGCTATGGTAAAATTTGTCTCTAGACGTGCTGACATAAAAAAAAACATTGGTCCATACTCGGGAAAGGCAGAGAATGATCCTCTTGATGTCATTTTCGTGGAAGATTTGCCCCAGCAGCTATTCTGGTAAGTTGTATTTTAATATAGTTTATAACTTTAATAGTTCTTTTCTATTTAAATTTAATTACATTCATTTTTTCTGTATTTTTTGTTTTTCATACTTGCCAGTGATTGTGGCGTATTCGTTGCTTCGTTTGCGGAGTATATTGTTTCTAATGAGCCCATCAATGCTGCTACGTTTGACGTTGATATCGAGCGGTCAAGGTTTTCATACCTATTGTACACACATGGAAAAATGAAGCAGGAAAAAGATTCCGAGAGTGATGATGATTCGCCTGGTCCGTTGCCGGCAAATTACCGAAGTTTGCTAGTACTTCCCTATACTAATTAGCATCTGAATTTGATGTTTAACGAGTTTGGTTGACATTGTTGTTCTATCATGTATTTTTTGTCAGACTATGTAGACAAACTAAACTCTGGTGTTTCTCCTTTTGGGCATGGTGTGTTATGGAATATGTTGGACATGTTTTGAATGATTGTATGTTATCAGGTTTATTTCTTGGTGTTTTTATGTATGATATTACATTTTTCTCCAATTCTTATGTTTGTTCAAGGAATACTTGTGGTATTTTTGTATTTTACTTATAGTATATTTTACTGAGTAACTTATTTATGTATTTTACTTGTAGTGTTTTTCATGTCTACCATTGACTATCAGGTACCAATGAACTTGTGTAATTTATGTGTTTATTTATGGAATTTCTAAACTATATTATAATTGTGAAAAAGTTGATGGTTCTAATATGAATAACTGACTTATTTTTAGTAGTTGTTTTAATACACAATATTTTTAGCAAGTTTAATTGTTTTTAATTTATAATGTATCCATTTGGTGTTTACTTTTTGTATTTTCTCAGTTTTCTTTGGATAATCTAAACATTTTCTTAACTATTAAATTACATATAAATTTATTCACAAACTACACTATCATCAAACACATTCTAATCTCTAAATGTTGTTCAAAAATCGATACCACCAATACAACACAATTTCAAGGACCAATAGCAATCTATATAAAAACCAATATATTAACTCATGCACTCAAAAAATATTCTTTGTTGACACTAAAATAGAATCATATATATTTACTCATATTAGGCAAAAAAAAAAAAGAAAAAAAAAACTTGTTATGTCCAGAACATAAAACTCATTGTAAACTGGTAGTCCCCAACATAGCACCAAATTAGATCAACAGAGCATCAACTTTGAAAATAATTGACAAAAAAATCCTGCAACTTCAACAAGTGTCATCAATGGTTATCTACTCTGATCTTCGGAGGATTTGGACAGGTCTTTACATTATGGCCCCTCTCGTCGCATTTTCCGCACTTGTTCTTTTTAAGAGCCTCAAATGGAGACTTGTATCGTTGTTTTCGCCGACGCCCCGATTTCGCTTTGCCTATAGGTGGTTGCACCTGTCTCTGTTTTTTATTGTCCACAGCATCAAATGTTTGCGGACCTTCGATAGGATAAACTACTTCACCATACGTCTCCAAAAAGTTAGTCGTCCTGTAATAATCAGAGCAAAATGGCACTGGATCAATATGTAAAGACCGAATGACGCGTATGGCATGTGGACATGGTAGCTCGTCCATTTGAAACCGATTGCAAGTGCATGTCTTGGCATCCAAATTTACAACATGTGAATACACGTCGTTATACACCTTATAAACTTGGTCGCTCGCCTTCTGGACCTGTCAACATATACACAAATTCCTTTTCATTCACAAATTCAGTTTCATACAGATTATTTATTCTATTAAATTATTACAATATAAACATAAAATAAACTTACAAACAAACAGGAAGCCACTTTGTAATTTTCTTCAAGGATATTGTTTGCTTTTTTTGTCAGAATAGTAAACATGCACTTTGCCTCATCTCGATTTGCCACGTTCCATTTTTGCTGTATTGATCTCAAAGATTCAAGCAACGTTGTTATAGGTAATTCACGCACCACTTTCGTAGCCGAGTTTATAGTTTCTGCTGCGTTTGACGTCATTGTGAAGAATCTATTTTCTTGGCAGTGGATACGAGCCCATTTGTGGAAACCTACTTTTTCAAGATGTGTTGGTACCCTTGGATCCAACTTCTTCAGTTCCAGCATATACCTGTTGAACTCTTCCTTTGTATATGCTCTAGAGGCTGAAATAAATGCATGCTTAACTTCCGTTGTTGCTATTCTATAGTTATTCCTCAGATTGTTGGCGAGGTGGTAAGTGCACAAGCAATGCGAAGCTTCTGGATATACCTACATTTTATAAAGTACAGAACATAATCATTCAAAAGTCGACACTTATCTTGCAGGTCATCCATAAAAAGAAGAAATATACTGTTGTTTTCATAGTTACCTTTGATACGGCGTATTTGATGCTTTCATGAGCATCTGAGACAATGCATAATCCCTCTCTCTCAGGTAGGGCAGATTTCAACTTGCTGAAAAACCAAGAGTATGACTCATTGTTTTCCGAGTCCACGATGCAGAAAGCAAGTGGGAGTACGTGCGAATTTGCATCTTGCGTACACGCTGTGAGTAAAACTCCTCCATATGTAGACTTTAGAAACGTGCCATCAACAACAATGATAGGCCTACAATGTGGCCAGCCCTTGATCGAAGCATTTAGACACATGAACAGGTACACGAAATGTTTATCTTCAGTAGTACAGAGATTCACAATGCTTCCGGGATTCGAGTGACAGAGCTTTTGGAGGTACTCATGAATGTATTCGTATGATTCATCCGGTTTTCCCTGTACCTCGTCTAGAGCCTTGCGCTTTGATCTCCATGCCTTTTTGTATGATAAATCGATGCCATATGTCAACTTCATATCGTGTATAATTTCTGCAGCATTGTATTTTGTTGTCACGTTTGTGAATTTCCCCTTTATGCATTCACTAACAAGTGTTGACGTAGCTTGTCGTTGGTTGTTTGTTCTGACCTCAAATGGACAGTTGTGATCTTTCACCATTTCCCTGATTTTGAACATACTCGACCGTCCTACTCGAGATGATTTAATGAACCAATTGCACCCATCCCATACACACTTTACGAAGTACTGTTTAGGACACGATTTTTGTACCTTGAATTGGAACTGGTGCTTGATTGCATATAACGCAAGCATTTTCTGCAGACTAGTTTTGCTGGAAAATGAATGTCCAATTGCTGGATTGTGCATCACTTCGACCACATTAGCTGATGTCGTATCAAGAGCTCCGTATGTGGTCTGTTGTTGTTCAACACTTGATGCAGCTAACGACATGGCTTCGGCAGCTTCTCTTGCAAAATCCATAAAATTCATATACTTTGAACCTTCATAGTCAATTTGATCAAAGTCCAAAGCAGCAACAATGCCCTCATTCCCTGCAACTTCGCTGTGATCCGCATTGATGAGGAGTGGAACTGGAATCAAAGTATTTTTTTGTTCCTTAATCACACATATTGGAAACTTAGTGTAATCAACCTCCCTCGACTTCAAATCCATGTAGAATCCAAGGCTTTGATCATCATCAATTTTAATGGCTGGATATCCATCTCGTACCTGATACTTAAAACTCCACCTTGATTCCATGTGGTTTATCTTCAGTAAATCTGCAACTTGCTTGGTGAAATCGTCGAAACAACAACTCTGATTCATAGATATTCCCCCAACTTCAAAATCAATGTAAGTGTTGTTACACCACTCTCCATTGTAGTGCAAAAACACCATAATTTTCGACATATTGCTGCAGATTACCACAAAAATACCTCAATAAATACTACAAAAAATGGATTGGTTAAAAAAAAAAAAACACCCAAGCCGCCATTGTTGAAAATTAAGCTTCTGTTCAATGAAAATAGCATTGGCTACTTCAAATTAGACGGAAAATATTCGAAATATACCTTCAATCTCCCAGATCAAAGTGTTCGCGAGCTCGAGATTCAGAAAATTCCATACTCGAAAGTGTTCGCGAGCTCGAGCTCGAGATCGAAAGTGTTCCACATTTCCATACTCGAAAGGTGAGTTTTTCTGTTTTGGATTGTTCCAACAATTTCCTTTTTGAAGAGTTCCTCGCGAGCTGATTTTTTGGGGTAGATTTGAGTTGATTTCCACAGATTTTCTTCCTTCTGTTGTAGCTTCGTAATTTTGGGTAATTAAGTTTTATGGAGCAACAAATCTGCGTTTAACTTTAAAATCTCGTTAATTGGCACATGCTGATTTACACGTGTATGTGTATTTTCGCCCAAAACCATTAGCTCTGTTTCATCATGATTTCATCTCAACAATAGAAACAAAACCCAACAAATCGATTTGCCCATCACTATTCGACGATTCAAACGCACGAGTGCGTTTAATGTGTTTCTTCGAATTGAAATTATCAACTTTTTCTCATAATATTTTTCAGAGATGGGTTTTCGTGTACTGATGAATTCCATAGACTGGGAGCAAGAATCTTACCCCAAGTACGAGGATTTCGTTGCGCTTTCCTTCTTCGCTCTGTTTTTCCCTACCGTTCGATTTTTGCTCGACAGATTCATCTTTGAGGTTCTATTTTCCAATTTCTTTACTCTTTTTGTTTGTTTTACGGATTTTGCAATCCGAGCTTCTTTTATTTTGCTTTAATATTATCACAGAAGTCGTTTGATTATATTGTGAACTTGTTGTACTTTTTCGGGATTTGGTGGGTGGCCCTTTGGATTTATGCTTTCATTCGATGGTTTTCTTGTTAGTATAATCAACTTTTGCAGGGTTAATGCGTTTATAGCTAGTGCAAGTTTTGATTTTTAAAGTGCTCTGGTATATGTGCTTTATGATCTGATTCTGTTATTTGTTTGGTATGGTTTTGTTAATCGTTGAGTAGGAGACTATCAGGAAAAAAAAAAGGTTGAACTATGAAGCTCCCAAGTATAGGTTCATATTCTGAAATGTGATGTCATGTTAAAATTCAGTTCCTCCTTAGGAATTAAGATTTTGGGTTTTAAGGATGTAAAAGTGAAAAGAGCTTGGTTGAATGAAGCCATACATGCTGTTTTAGTTAGTCCTCGGAGTGTCTTGTGAATCCTTTTAAACTAATTTTGTGTTGTCAAATTTCATCTATACAGAAAATAAGTCTAGTTTGGCTTGTTGGTTGGAATAGTAAAAGTATGTTTAATATTTACTAGCATTTGTTCCATCTATTCTAGTAACTTTATTTATCAGTGTCTAAGCTGAGCTCATATTTATTTGCTCCATATGTTTCGGGATTTTTTCTTTGTTTTCCTTTTCCTTTCCGGTTTTCTTTGTCTTGTTGTTGAACATAAGGAAACTTCAGAGTACCTGAAAAAGATCTACATTTCGAAAAATCTATATCTATTACCATTTCAATCTTCAGCAAACAGTGGCTTGCTGGTTATTTACACAATCCTAACCCTGCAAAGAAATTTTTTGATTCTTGAAAAGTTTGATAATTGAACCTCAAAATAGTTTCTTTCTTAGCGTTGAAAACATTCTTTAACTCGATATTGACTTATTTTACATGTTGTAGAAAGTTGGAAGGCGACTATTATACGGAACGTGTACTCAATTGGTGAAAAACGAAACAGATGAACAAAAGAAGAAGATGAGGAAGTTCAAAGAGTCCGCATGGAAATGCATCTATTATCTTTCTGCTGAGATATTTGCACTTGCAGTGACATTCAACGAGCCTTGGTTCAGAAATACTAAATATTTCTGGGTGGGGCCCGGAGATCAAGCCTGGCCTGACCAAACATACAAGTAAGATTTATTATTATTATTTTTTAATTTGACTTTGTTAAAGGGGGCTCTTTTTTATCTTATTAGTAATATCTCATGCTCGTTATTGTTCAGTTTGGGTTGTGCTGAAGTGTTCATTGACCGTATCGTGAATTTATATATTATTTGTTTTTTCGAATTCATGATATATATCGCATTTCTTTGTGGATATTCAGGCTGAAACTGAAGGGCCTCTATATGTTTGCTGGTGGATTCTATATATACTCCATATTTGCTCTGATATTTTGGGAAACTAGACGCTCGGATTTTGGGGTCTCTATGGGCCACCACGTGGCAACATTCATTCTCATTGTCTTATCATATGTATTCAGGTGTGTTATTCTTTTAAAAAAAATTAAGATAGAAAAAAAGATGCCAGTTTAAACTTTAAATGGGAAGAATTTTTGTAATGCCATAAAATTCATGTCATTCTTTGTATTTTTATTGTTCGGGGATATGAAATTTAGTATTATGCTTCAAAAAGACTTCGTTTTTCTGAATCTGTTCCTTAT